ACAAACCGAGATGCTGTGATCCCTATCCACAACATGATCCGAAAGTTGGAGAGCCAAGGGGTGGTCAGCAGAACCCATTCACCCTTCAACAGCCCCATCTGGCCTGTGCGTAAATCCGATGGAGAGTGGAGACTGACTGTGGACTATCGTGGCTTAAATGAAGTTACGCCACCATTGAGTGCTGCCGTGCCAGATATGTTGGAGCTCCAATATGAGTTGGAGTCCAAGACAGCAAAGTGGTACGCCACCATCGACATAGCCAACGCGTTTTTCTCCATTCCTTTAGCGGCAGAGTGCAGGCCACAGTTTGCTTTCACCTGGAGGGGCGTTCAATACACCTGGAATCGACTGCCCCAGGGGTGGAAACACAGTCCAACCGTCTGTCATGGACTGATCCAGGCCACACTAGAGAAGGGTGAGGCTCCCGAACACATCCAGTACATCGATGGCATCATTGGAGGGGGGGACACAGCTGAAGAAGTTTTCAAGAAAGGACAGAAGATCATCCAGATTCTCCTCGAGGCCGGTTTTGCCATCAAGAAGAGCAAAGTCAAGGGACCTGCCCAAGAGATCCAATTCCTAGGGGTGAAATGGCAAATGGACGACGCCAGATACCAACAGACGTCATCAACAAGATTGTAGCCATGGCTCCACCCACAAACAAGAAAGAGACCCAAGCTTTTCTGGGAGCCACAGGCTTCTGGAGGATGCACATCCCAGAGTACAGTCAGATTGTGAGCCCTCTTTACTTTGTGACCCGTAAAAAGAACAATTTCCAGTGGGGTCCTGAGCAACAACAAGCTTTCAGGCAGATCAAGCAAGAAATTGCTCTTGGACCAGTCAGGACGGGACCAGATGTAAAGAATGTGCTCTACACTGCAGCTGGAGATAAAGGTCCCTCCTGGAGCCTCTGGCCAAAGGTGCCTGGTGAGACGCGAGGGCGACCACTGGGTTTCTGGAGCTGAAGATACAGAGGTTCTGAGGCCAATTCCACCCCTGTGGAGAAGGAAATCTTAGCTGCGTATGAAGGCATACGAGCAGCTTCAGAGGTAATTGGTACCGAAGCACAGCTCTTCCTGGCACCCCGATTACCAGTCTGGAGCTGGATGTTCAAAGGGAAGGTGCCCCCTACGCATCATGTCACCGATGCCACGTGGAGCAAGTGGATCGCTTTGATTACGCAACGTGTCCGAATCGGGAACTCGAATCGCCCTGGCGTCTTGGAAATCACAACCAACTGGCCTGAAGGTGGGAACTTCAGTCTGGCAGAAGAAGAAGGAGAACCAGTAAGCCGAGCTGAAGAAGCTCTGCCATTTGATCAGCTGCCAGACAAAGAGACACGCTATGCCCTTTTCACTGATGGTTCTTGCCGTATTGTAGGGAGGAGCTGGAAGTGGAAAGCAGCCGTTTGGAGTCCCACCCGACGAGTGGCAGAAGCCACTGAAGGTAAAGGCGAATCGAGTCAGTTTGTGGAACTCAAAGCAGTCCAATTGGCCCTGGATATCGCAGAGAGAGAAGGATGGCCAAGGCTCTACCTGTACACCGATTCGTGGATGAGAGCCAATGCCCTATGGGGGTGGCTAGACTGGTGGAAAGAGGAGAATTGGAAGCATAGAGGAAAACCCATCTGGGCTGCTGATCTGTGGCAAGACATCGCTGCCAGAGTGAAGAAACTGAACGTGAGAGTCCACCATGTAGATGCCCACGTGCCCAAGAAATGAGCTAATGAGGAACATGCTAATAACAGACAGGCAGACCGAGCTGCACAGGTCAAGGTATCACAAGCAGACCTAGACTGGCAGCAGAAGGGAGAATTGTTCCTAGCTCGATGGGCCCATGATGCTTCAGGTCATCAGGGCCGAGATGCCACTCCTAGATGGGCACGAGACCGAGGGGTGGATTTAGCCATGGATATCATCTCTCAAGTTATCCGTGACTGTGAAACCTGTGCGGCTATTAAGCAGGCAAAAAGGTTGAAGCCCCTGTGGTATGGTGGACGCTGGGAGAAGTATAAATATGGGGAGGCCTGACAGATTGACTATATCATGTTGCCACAGACCCGCCAAGGTAAACGCTGTGTGCTTCCCATGGTGGAAGCAACCACAGGATGGTTGGAAACATATTCGGTACCGCATGCAACAGCCCAAACACCATTCTAGGTCTGGAGAAGCAGGTCCTGTGGAGACAGGGCACTCCAGAGAGGATTGAGTCAGACAACGGGACTCATTTCAAGAAAGAAGTAACCACTTGGGCACAGGAGCATGGGATTGAATGGGTCTATCACATTCCATATCAGGCACCTGCTGCAGGAAAAGTAGAAAGGTGTAATGGACTGTTGAAGACAACCCTAAAGGCACTAGGTGAGGGAACTTACAAAAATTGGGATAAGAACTTAGCCAAGGCCACCTGGCTCGTCAACACTAGAGGCTCTGTCAACCGAGCTGGTCCTGCCCAAGCAGAATCCCTCCACACTGGAGATGGAGACAAAGTTCCAGCCATCCATCTCAAAGGTATGTTAGGTAAGGCCCTTTGGATCACTCCTCCCTCAGGCCAAGACAAACCCAGTCGTGGGATTGTTTTGCTCAAGGGCCCAGAAATACCTGGTGGGTTATGAGGAAGGATGGAGAGATCCAATGTGTCCCTCAAGGAAACCCAGCCCTGGGGAAAAACTAATTCTGTGCCCTAAGTTGTGTTTTACAGGAGACCAGACACCAGATGGAGAAAGAGACCCGAACAAGGTGATACCGGTATCCAAGGATGTCCGATGATGAGACAGTCCAGTGATGAAAAAGCCATAAATCAGAACTGTAATTGTGACTGAGGAGACCAAAGATCTGGACTGAACTGAACTGACATCGGTATTGATTTTCCAACGACGAGACAACTGCGCCGAGAGACCAACAAGAACTATATATATATATGTATATATGTATATATATGCGCGGGATATAGGCAAACGTGATACATAGGTGTTATGTAAAAATAGTATGGAATAAGGGGTGGAGAATGTGGTGGTTTGGGCTAGGCCTTCCTTGGTGACCAGTTTGTAACCAAGGAAGGGTCCAGATTTACCCAGTATTCCCTACGAGGAGAGGCCTTCGCTCTCTTTCCTTCTGGTGGCTTTGGAGGTGCAGGTTCCCTGCTGTTGATCTGCCGTGTTGGGGAGCGAGGCCTGGTTGGGCCTTGCTGACCTTGGGAGACGGAGGTTGCCGGCGATCGTTCCGGAGCGACTCTCGGTTGTCCCAGGAGAGTAGTGAGCTATTTTCTTTGCTAACTTTTAGTTGTTAGATATTGGGTCACTAATTGGGATATATATATATTTTATTTTAGTTTTGTTCCCTTTCCCTTCGCCCTTCCCTTTTCCCTTGTGAAATTGAATATTTTAATTGTATATAAGTGTAAATATATTTATATGTCTCACTTTGGTTGTTTCTCTCTCGTTTCGGGTTTTCTTAGTTTTTTCCTCCCTCTTCTCCCTGAGGTTTGGGGGGGGACTTCTGGTGGTAAGGTTTGGAGACTTGGCAGGGAGCCAGCTTCAAACCATATCAAGAACTGAGCTGAAATCCATTGAAATGGAGCAAAAATCCTTCCAAATCCACTCCAAATCTGTCAAAGGTCCACTGAAAATCCCCCTCCAGCCGGAGCTGTGGGAAAGCTGCCTCCGAGTGCGGTGAGGGAACCACCAAAATTCCCCTGAAATCCACCCAAACCCCCGCAAATTCCATCAAGAATCCCTCAAATCTTCTGAAAATCCACAAAAATTGACCTCAAGTCCACGCAAGTCAACCCCAAACCCCTCAAGATCCCACAGAATTTCCCCCAAAAGCCTTCCAAAAATTCCCCAATTCCCTCCAACTTCTCCACAATTTCCCCAAATCGCCCCAAATTCCAGAGATTTCCTCAAAATCCCTCAACATGGGAATTTCCTGAGATTCTCTCAAGGATCCCCACAGAAATTCCCCAAAACCCTTAGACAAATTCCCCAATTCCCCACAAAGCCCCCTCCAAAATCACATCAATTCCCTCCAAATTGCCTTCAAATCCCCAAAGCCCCTCGAGGTTTGGGAATTCCAATTTGGGAATTTGGGGGATTCAGGGGGAAATTTGGGGGGAAATTCAGGGGATTTGGGGGCATTTGGGTGGAAATTCAGAGACACCCAGGGAATTTGGGGGGAAATGGAATCTGGGGGGATTTGGGGGAAATTCCAGGCATTTGGGGGTCAGAGGGAGGATTTGGGAATTCTGAGGGGGGTTTGGGAGGGATTTGGTGGGGATTCAGGGGGAAATTCAGGAAAATTCAGGGGGAAATTCAGGAAAATTCAGGGCATTTGGGGGATCAGAGGGAGGATTTGGGAAGAATTTTGGAAGTCTAAGGGGGAGCTGGGAATTCCGGGGGGCTCGGGACTTTTGGGGGGGGCTTTGGGAAGAGGTTTGATGGGAATTTGGGGGGGATTCAGGGAGAAATTCTGGGACTTTCCCGCAGCTCCCTGGAGTCGGAGCTGGAGCAGCGCCTGCGGGAGGAGGAGCAGCGACAGAATGAGACCAGAGCTCGTGAGGAAGAGCTCTCAAACATCTCCGAGAACACAGAGGCTCACCGGAGGCGGGTCGAGGAGCAGCTCCACGTGCAGCGGAACCAAGTGGCTGTGCTCCAGGAGGTGCAAAGATGGCAAAAGTCCCTCCTGGATCAGCAGGACAAACCCATTAACCAACTGTTGACGGAGCGACGCCGCCTCCACAATGACATCCAGGAGCCCAAAGTGGGCCCAGGGCAGAGGGGGGCATTTTATGAGGGGACCAGTGTTTAAAACCAGATGGGAAACAACTGGGGGGGTTAAAAATCTTGGAAACTATCGATCTATAGGTATGGTTGATAACACTGCTTTTAAAGCCATGATTACTGAAAAAGAAATTATTAAGAACACTAATGAGATAAATAAAAATACAGCTCCTGGGCCGGATGGGACCACAATAAGAGAATTAACTAAAATGGATCCCAAATATACACAAATAACAGAAATTTTTAATTTATGGTTAACATCTGGAAGAATACCAGACATGATAAGGGAATGCCAAACTGTATTATTGCCGGAGTCAACTAAGCCAGACCGTCTCAATGACATCAATAATGGGAGACCCATTACGATCGGGTCTGTAATCTTAAGGTTATTGTCAAGGATACTGACGGCTAGGCTAACAAAGGCATGCCCCATAAACCCTAGACAAAGGGGTTTCATAAAATCGCCGGGATGCTCTGAAGATTTAAAATTATTACAACTTCTTATGAAGAATGCAAAAAGAGAACACAATGAACTGGGAGTGGTATTTGTTGATATCGCGAAAGCTTTCGATACAATAAGTCACCAACACATTATCACAGGCCTAAAGCAAAAAGGGGTAGATGTCCATATAATTAATTTGATTGCAAACATGTATGAAAATATCTACACCCGAATTGGCATTAATAATAAACAATCAGATCCAATTCAAATTAAAGTGGGTGTTAAACAAGGGGACCCTATGTCTCCATTGCTATTTAATCTGGCTATGGATCCTTTATTGTGTGAATTAGAACAGTATGGAGAAGGGTTCCAATTCAGAAATAAATCGATTACTGCAATGGCTTTTGCTGATGATTTGGTCTTACTTAGTGGATCCTGGGAAGGCATGAAAAAGAACATCGAGATTCTTGAGACATTTTGCGATTTAACCGGTCTCAAGACGCAAGGGGAAAAATGTCATGGTTTTCTCATAAAGCCTGCTAGAGAGGCATATACAATTAATGATTGTCCTCCGTGGACTATAGGTGGTACACCCCTCAATATGGTCAATCCGGGTAGCTCTGAGAAATATCTTGGCATTCAAATCGATCCTTGGGTACAAATAGCTAAACCAGATTTGTCATCAAAAATAGAAACATGGTTATGCCGCATTAGTGAAGCACCACTCAAACCATTACAAAAAGTGGATATGTTGAGAACATATGTGATCCCTCGAATAATATACTTAGTAGATCATACAGAGATAAAAGCTGGATTTTTGAAAGTACTAGATTTAAAGATTAGGGCGACGGTTAAGAAATGGTTACATCTACCAGCCAGCACTTGCGATGCCATTCTATATTCCAGCACAAAGGATGGTGGGTTAGGAATTACGAAATTACAAGCCTTGATCCCGAGTGTACAAGCCAGAAGGTTGCATAGGCTGGCACAATGTTCTGATGACACCTTAAGGGCGGTTTTGCTGGAGGAAAACATCACGCAGATATATGAGAAGCTGTGGATATCAGCTGGAGGAGATAAAGATAAAATACCGAATATCTATCTGGGCACCCAAACCAACGGTGGAAACAGTGACGTTGGGTGAAGAAGAGACATCAGAATGGGAGAGTAACATACCAAAGAACAACTACCCGCGGCCTTGTAACTGGAAGAAAAGGGAATTCCAGAAATGGACTCAATTACTCAATTCTGGGACTTTCCCGCAGCTCCCTGGAGTCGGAGCTGGAGCGGTGCCTGCAGGAGGAGGAGTGGTGCCGGGAACAGGATGAGACCAGAGCTCAGGAGCAAGCGCTGTTGGAAAACCTGGAAAACGCAGAGGTTTGTGGGGGGCCTGGAATTCCCAAAAGCTTACGGGGAGGGGAGAAAAAAAAATTGGGATAATCCGGAGCCAGTTCCTCCCTGATGTCCCCAAACCCCTCCTCACTGTCCCCAAACCCCGTTCCTGATGTCCCAAACCCCAGGTGTCCCCCCAGGAGCCCCCTGTGCCCCCCCAAACGCTCGTCCTGGGACCTGTGGGTGCAGTCGCAGGAGCTCCGGGACAAGCTGGTCCAAGCCTGGGAGTGGCTCCGGAAGGTGCAAACAGAGAAACGGGGCCTGGAGTGTGAGAATTGGGAGCTCAAGGAGTCCCGGGAGCAGCTCCAGAGGGAGCTCAAGGAGTCCCGGGAGCAGCTCCAGAGGCAGCTCAAGGAGTCCCAGGAGCAGCTCCAGTGGGAGCTCCCTTTTAGTGCCATTTCCCCCCCTGTTCCTCCCCAGGCTCACCGGAGGCAGGTCGAGGACCATCTCTGCCTGCAGAAGGACCGGATGGTTGCTCTCCAGGAGGTGCAAAGATGGCAAAAATCCCTCCTGGATCAGCAGGATGAACAGATCCACCAGCTGGAGATGGAGCGATGCCGACTCCACAATGACACCCAGGAGCCCAAAGTGGGTCCGGGGCAGAGGGGGGCATTTTATGAGGGGAACCCCCCTCTAAACTTGCCCAAAATCCCTAAATCCTGTATTTTTCCCCATTTTCCAGGACAACATCCCCGTGTTCTGCCGCGTGAGGCCCGTGCTGCCGGAGGAGTCGGAGCGGCAGCGGGGGCTGCAGCACCTGCACTTCTCCCCGCAGAACTCCACAACACTCATTGTCACCCAGCCCGACGAGGTGAGAAGGGCTGCACCCAAAAATGCCCTTTTTCCCCTCAAAAATCTCTTTTTTGCCTTCAAAAATATAATTTTTTCCCTCAAAAATCCCTTTTATCCCCTCTCAAAAATGGCCCTTTTTCCCCTAAAAATTTTGTTTTTTCTCCCTCAAAAATGTTGGGTTTTCCCCTCAAAAATCCCCTTTTCCCCCTGCAAAAACATTTGAAGGGGTTTGGGGGAGTTTTGGGGGGATTTGGGACAGATTTTAAGTTGGAGTTGGGGGGGGTTTGGAGGGTCCGGGGGGCGGTTGGGGGGGATTTGAGGGGGTTTGGGGGTCACTGGGGGAGTTTTGGGGGATCCTCGGGGGCATTTGAAGGGGTTTGGGGGGTCCCAGAGGGAATTTGGGGGGTGACAGAGGGGGCTTGGGGGGTCTGGGGAGAGGTTTGAGGAGGTCACAGAGGGGCTTGGGGAGGTCCGGGGGGAGTTTTGGGTGGGATTCAGGGGGGTTTGGGGAGGTCGCAGAGGGAATTTTGGGGGTCACGGGAGCATTTGAGGGGGATTGGGGGTCACTGGAGGGGTTTTGGGTGGTCACGGGGGATTTGGGGGGTCTTGAGGCTGGTTTTGGGGGTCTCACCCGCCCCCATCCCCCCCCAGGTGAAAGACCGCGTGATCGGCACCCCCAAGCCCAACCGGAATTGAGATCAAGCCCCACCCTTCGCTCCACCCTTCGCTCCGCTCTTATCTTGTTTTTAAAAACAAAAGAATTAATAAAGATTTGCGTGTGCTCAGCGCTGATTGGCTGCCGCTGTCACGTGTCTTGCCCAAAATGGCCGCGCTTTGTTCCCCCTTAAGGAGAATCCCGCTTGCTGATTGGCTGCGCCCGTGCGGCGGCGCGGCGGCCGCCATTTTGCTCCGCCTGTTGTCAGCAAAGGGTCCCATTTACACCTTAATTCGGGCTGAGGCATCTCTTCCTAATGGGATCAGAACACCTGGGCAGGGACACCTTCCACCACACCAGCTGGCTCCAACCCCGTCCAACCCGGCTAAACTGGAAAAAAACTTCTTCATCTCAGACCTGCCGTGTACACCCATGGCATTCAGCACTAAACCAAACCATCCCTGTTCTTTGCTGTTAGTTCTGGAGTTTTGCTCCAGGAGTCCCGGGAGCAGCTCCAGAGGGAGCTCAAGGAGTCCCGGGAGCAGCTCCAGAGGGAGCTCAAGGAGTCCCGGGAGCAGCTCCAGTGGGAGCTCAAGGAGTCCCGGGAGCAGCTCCAGAGGGAGCTCAAGGAGTCCCGGGAGCAGCTCCAGAGGGAGCTCAGTGAGCGCCGGATTGAGTCAGACAACGGGACTCATTTCAAGAACAGCCACTTGGGCACAGGAGCATGGGATTGAATGGGTCTATCACATTCCATATCTGGCACCTGCTGCAGGAAAAGTAGAAAGGTGTAATGGACTGTTGAAGACAACCCTAAAGGCACTAGGTGAGGGAACTTACAAAAATTGGGATAAGAACTTAGCCAAGGCCACCTGGCTCGTCAACACTAGAGGCTCTGTCAACCGAGCTGGTCCTGTCCAAGCAGAATCCCTCCACACTGGAGATGGAGACAAAGTTCCAGCCATCCATCTCAAAGGTATGTTAGGTAAGGCCCTTTGGATCACTCCTCCCTCAGGCCAAGACAAACCCAGTCGTGGGATTGGTTTTGCTCAAGGGCCCAGAAATACCTGGTGGGTTATGAGGAAGGATGGAGAGATCCAATGTGTCCCTCAAGGAAACCCAGCCCTGGGGAAAAACTAATTCTGTGCCCTAAGTTGTGTTTTACAGGAGACCAGACACCAGATGGAAAAGACCCGAACAAAGCGATACCGGTATCCAAGGATGTCCGATGATGAGACAGCCCTAAACCCCCAAATTTCCCTCAAAATCCTCCCTGAATCCAAAAATTCTCCCCTGAATCCCCAAATTCCTCCCTGAATCCCAAATTTCCCCTCCCCAGGGGGAGAGGGGAAATTGGAGACATGTTAGTAACCATTTTCTCCCTGGAGGAGAATTTTGGGGAATCCATCAATTCCCTGTGGTTCGCCAGCAAGGTGGGAGTGGGATTTGGGGGGACATGAGGGATTTGGGGGGATTTGGGGGAACATGAGGGATTTGGGGGGATTTGGGGGAACATGAGGGATTTGGGGGGAAGTTGGGGGGGGTATGAGGGATTTGGGGGGGGTTGGGGGTCTCTGCTGGATTTTGGGGGGTCACAGGAGGGTTTGGGGGGTCCTGGGGGAGTTTTCGGGGGGATCTGAGGAGGTTTGGAACATGTCACAGAACAAAGGGAGCTCCAAGGAAACGTCCCGAAAGGCGGGAATGGGACTCGGGGAATTGTTGCAGCTGCTCCTCGACGACTCCAGGAGCAGAGGGCCGCGAGCAGAGCTGGATCCTCCTGTGCTGGGCTGCAGAGAACTTCCCAGGAGAAGCTGTGTGGAGGTGGCACAGCCCAGAGCGGGAGAGCTGCAGGCACGGAGCATTCCCTGGGTTTTTGCTCTGTATTCCAAGGCTGGAGCAGGGATCACTGCAGGGAGCAATCCTGAGGCTCCTCCAAGGCTGTCGCTGCTGACCTGCGAGGGACGTGAGGAGGGACAGCTGTGAGTTGTACCTGTGTTTGGATGATGGCAAACATTTCCAACTGGGGGGACATTGGGGGACACTGGGGACATTGGGGACATTGGGGGGACATTGGGGGGACATTGGGGACATTGGGGGGACATTGGGGGGATATTGAGGGGACATTGGGGGGACATTGGGGGGACATTGGGGGGACATTGGGGACATTGGGGACATTGGGGGGACATTGGGGGGACATTGGGGACATTGGGGGACATTGGGGACATTGGGGACATTGGGGGGACACTGGGGGACATTGGGGGACATTGGGTGTATTGGGGGATATTGGGGGGACATTGGGGGGACATTGGGGACATTGGGGGGACATTGGGGGACATTGGGGACATTGGGGACATTGGGGGGACATTGGGGGGGGACAGTGGGGGACATTGGGGCCATTGGGGGACACTGGGGGGACATTGGGGGACACTGGGGGTACTTGGGGACAATGGGGGGACATTTGTGGGGGACATTGGGGGACATTGGGGGACATTGGGGAGACATTGGGGGGACATTGGGGGGACATTGGGGGGACATTGGGGACATTGGGGGGACATTGGGGGGTCAGGGGTCATTTTCAGGGGGTCAAAGGTCACCTGCTGGTAGGTGTTGGTGGCAATGATTGGCCGCAGGATGGGGGGCGGGGCCAGCAGGTACCCAGGGGCGGGGCGTGGAGCCCCCAAAACCTCCTGCTCGAACCTGGGGGGGGAGGGGCACCGGTGACACCCCCCCAGTGACACCAGTGACCCTCCCAGTGCTCCCAGTAACAC